GTAATTGTCAAGGAACAGGAGGAATTTTTATACTTCAACGTTGATGATGTCTATTTCCCAACCTGGCATCAGCCTCAACATACTTTTCTTTCGTTCAATGGTTGAGACAGAGATTTTCCTACCATCCCCAAACATATTTGAAATGCTTGCAAATCCAAGGTCAAGAAGTTTGTGGCTCTATATTGATCTTTTTATTCTTTGTAAATTTCTGGCTTAGGCATACCCACTCACAGAATATTATGCTACTGTGTTCATTGTTGCACATGGAGTCTGAGCTTAAATAAATGCTACACAAGCCTCATGGACGTTTGTTGCATGCTGTTCTCCCATCAAGGCATAATCATTGTATAGTAAGGAATACTGTAACATTTCTTATATTGCAGCAGTAAGACTATTTATGGGCTGGGCACAGTGGCTCATGCATGTAATCCTAGTACTCTGGAGGCTGAGGTAAGTAGATTGCTTGAGGTCAGGAGTTTGAGACCAGCCTGAGCTACTAAAAATAGAAAAACTAGCCAGACATGATGACACACACCTATAGTCCCAGCTACTGGAAAGGCTGACACAAGAGGATTGCTCAGGCCCAAGAGTTTGAGGTTGCTGTGAGCTATGATGCCACAGCACTCTACCTAGGGTGACAGTGAGACTCTATCTCAAAAAACTAAAACAAACAAAAAAGACTGTACTTGTGCTTTTTATGTGTTTGGGTTGTTTCCCATATGTTTATATTTGTGATATACAATGTAAGCAGTTTTTCAATGTTACCCATGGACCCCAAATCTCCTACCACTTCTCTTTTGAGATTTTCTGGACTACTTAAAGAGTTTCCTGGGATTGCAACACAAGCCTCTATGCAAAACTGTTACCATTTGAAGCTATTTACCTGAGTCAAGACGTCACTCCCAAACAAAAATTCACAAATTGAGTGTATCAGCTGATGGAGGGCAACATCTGTCCTCTATAAACCCCTGATTTCAAAAGTGGGTTCTGCTAAAATTCTTTATTGTTCTTTGTGGTTGGTGCTGTACTGTATAAATATGAACTCATAAAATAAATGTGTGCTAATGAAAAGAAAGTCTGTTCTTTGATCTTGGGGAGAGAGATCTATGTAAGATTTAATTTGGAAAAAGTGATCTGACAGCTGAAAACCACTTTCATGGGTTGCCTGCAGTTTTCCAGGCCTGAATTATTTTTAAAAGAGATGTTATCAGGTCTCAATGACCAAGAGAACACAAAATACACAGCTATATTCTATCCTGCTGGCTTCTCAGGATCTCAGGCTATTTTCCAGTGGCTGATACAAAAAGTGAAGCAATGTATCTGGAATAAAAACAGTAACATATATCCCATGTTATGGGCACTTGCAAAAGCCTTCACAGCATTAGTTCATATCCTGCTAGCCCTAAGAGATATGGCCCAATATGACAAAACTCAGGCCCAATGTGGTTCAGAGTTCAGAGACTTTTGAATTTTAGAAATATGATACAATGACTATAGCTTATATTATGGAATTCATTAAGGGATGTGTGTCTGGGAAGCCCCATAATCCCACTAATAGTTCTGTAGTGAAATGTGGGATGTTGACACTAAGAGACATAAACTGACTATAAATATTTTCACATTCGCCCGGGTCTTGCCTCCACATGTGGTTGTTTTTTTGTTTGTTTGGTTGGTTGGTTTGGTTTCGTTTTTTGAGACAGAGTCCTCAGTTTCTTGTCCTCAGTAGAGTGCTGTGGCATCATAGCTCGCAGCAATCTCAAATTCCTGGGCTCAAGCCATTCTCTTGCCTCAGCCTCCTGAGTAGCTGGGACTACAGGCGCCCACTACGACACCTAGCTCTCTTTTACAGACAGGTTCTTGCTCTTGCTCAGGCTGGTCTTGAACCTGTGAGCTCAAGCAATCCACCCGCCTTGGCCTCCCAGAGTGCTAGGATTACAGGTGTGAGCCACAACATCCAGCCCTTCATGTGTTTTTATTGGTGCTAAATTCAGAGTTTAGGGACTTCACATGAGTTGCTAAGTGATTGGATTATTAATCTGTTCTATTATCAGGATCATTAGTTCATTGTATGGATGAGGGAAATGAAGCTCAGAGAGTTAAGTAATTTGCCTGAGGCTACACAGCAGGGGATTGAAACCAGGTCTTTCTGAGCATTTTCTGTGCTCCTGACACAGATCTGGATCTCTCTGGGGCTGGAGGGCTCCAGCTGACATCCCAGGAGTCACAGAACAGCCTGGTTCTCTGATAAGTGGATGAGCAGAAATTCTTCAGGGTTCTCTAAGAAGCTAGAAGCGGTTGGCACTCCGAAGGCCTGTCCAAAGCTTCCCTAAACGCCCTGTTTCCGGCCCCTAGAAAGCAGCTTTTCAGGGGAAAAGAGGCCAAAAGAAGGCTTAAGGGGCAGAGAAGAGGCGCTGCCCATTCCCGCCCTCCACGGCACGCCCCCTCCACCTCCTTCCCCCTCAGCAGCTCTGGGTCCCACCAACACACACGCCGGCTGAGTAGCACAGCGGTCTCCCAGGTTGCCGCGGAGACAAGCAAGGGAGCAAAAGGGAGGGGTGGGGCGGCGGGAGGCCCCGAGGCTGAGCGCGGCGCCTTCTCTGGAGCTAGTGGAGAGGGAAAAAATCCAGCGAAGCCCAAGGACTCTGCTTTGCAAGAGAAAAACAACCCGAATGAGCCAGTAATTGTGGAAAGGCCTCGCTGAGACCTTGACCGCCCTCCAGCTCACGTGTCTTTTCCCCTGTCTCCTGTCTTTTGCCTCTCCCCTGTTTTTCTAAACATTTGCCCTGCTACTTCTTGAGTTAAATAAAATCACACGCCATACGTTAAAGGTACACGTGTTTGTTTTCATACAGTCCCGGTATGAGTCATTAGTTTACCTGGGTTTTGTGGGTTCTTTAATTATCTCTTATAGCTGTATTTCATTAGCTTTGCTTTCCTCTGTAATCCAATAAATGTAATTCTATGCTTTCAAAAACTTTGTTCTAGAAAGGATGGTGGCACAGGGTAGAGTTAAGGATTCCCTGGAGAAGGTAGGTGGGGATAAGGATAGGGAGGAAGCTGGAGAGACTCCTGGAGACGGTGGTGCTCTAACAGAAGCAAGAGAAAGGTGAGGAAGATTGCTGAGAGAGGTGGGGGGTGTTTGCTGAAGGGCCTAAAGACCCTTGATTTTATTTAACTTATTTTAATTAGGGTTTTTTGTTTTGTTTTGGAGACAGACTTTCCTTTTGTTGCCTGCCTGGTCTAGAGTGTAGTGGCGTCATTATAGCTAGCTGCAACCTCAAACTCCTGGGTTCAAGCCATTCTCCTGCCTCAAAAAACTGGAATGGCAGGGACTACAGGCTCACATCACCATGCATGGCTAATTTTTCTATTTTTTGTAAAGACAGAATCTTACTCTTGCTCAGGGTGCTCAAACAATACTCCCGCTCCTGCCTCTCAAATCAGAGTGTAGGATTTGAGAGGCAAAAAGAAGCCTCTGCCACCACATCTGGCCCAAACAGTATTTTTGACTAATAAAAATCTAAGCAACCTAAAGGGATGTAGAGTGAAGTGCATGTCTCTCCCACCTCTGGGAGTCCTCTTCCACAGAGACAGCCACTGTGGGCAGCGCTTGTCCCTGTGACCAGCATGTATAACCATCTAGACTCTTTGGTCTACACTCAAGGCAGACTGTTTCAGATTTAAATCCAGGCTCAACCATTTCCGGCTGGGACATACAGCAAGTAATTTTACTCCCTTGGACCTCAGTTTCCTCAGTGGTATAATGAGACTAATACTCAGGTATCTTACAGTATAATGAGGATTGCATGAGTCCATTCATAGACAGCGCTTGGAATAGTGCCTACTACAGGAAGTACTCCATAAAACTTGCCTGTCCTTAGACAAGGCATACTTTTCTTTACAGCTGCATAATATTTCACTATAACAGACCATAAAGATGGAGAAGTCCCTACTTATGAACATGTAGGTTCATATACCCACTCAAAACTATGCACTGGGCACAGAACTATGCATGGGAGCCAAGCACCATGCTAGGGATTGGTGCAATAAGACCCTGGTACCAATTTCTCTACCCACGTGTAGGGGTATACTGGTAGTAATCTATGGTACCAACAGTCGCGGGTATTTAAAATGGTAATACACATTCCAATGGCTCTCAGCAGGTCTACTCCGTTAGCACACCCATCTTCAGGGGTTGGCTGAAACCCACACTTTTCAGCCAAACGTTTAGGAGGGCAGGTTTGGAACTACTGCCTTCTGAGAAAGACGCTGACGTGGACCTCAGCTGCTGCGCTAGGAAGCGGTGGCCCCAGCAAGGCCAGGGACTCAGCCACACCCCTATGGGGGAGAAGAGAGAGGCCTCCCGAAGAGAGTGGACAGCCCCCCTGTCAGTCTTCCCGAGTCAGGAGTGTAAGATGAGACCGAGAAGGTGGGCCTCGCGCTAGGGGAGGGCGAGGAGGAACTTCCTGCCGCTGGGTTGCACCGTAGAGGGCGAAGGCGCTAGGGCTGGCGGGCGGGAGGCGCGGCCAGGTTGGCCTGGAGCTGGTGGCAGCCTGCCTGGGAGCGGGAGACCCTACTGGAGGGCCAAGCTGAAGCCTCTCAGCGCCTCGGCCATATTGCATAGCCACGGTTGAGCCTTCTTTGTCTGCGAAGTCCTCTCCCAAGTTCTAGCCGCGTCCCTGGTGCCTGAGCCAGAAAGAACCACCCGCAGCCAGTGCGCCCCAACTTGGAGCTGGGACACCACGTTACCAGCTTGGAAAGGGCTTTGAGCCTCAAGACTGACCTCACAGCGACTCGCGGCTCACGGCCCACGTAAGCATCCTGGGAAGTAAGCCCCACGAGTCCTTGAGGGAGCCGAACTTGGCTGAGATCGGATTTGTAGCAGGCGGAGAATTTGGGTGGAGCTGGCTCTTACCTGGCTGGAGAGACGAGACTCTCCGGTCAGCGGTGCTGGGATATACCCTCTCTACTTCGCAAGACTAGGGCTTACAAGTAGTTTGTTTGGGCTCATTGCCCCTCAACCCAGATACCACCCTGGAGATCTTAAAGACTCTCGAGAAAAGCCATGTGGGGGGCTGGTTCCCTTGGGGCTTCCTCCCGTCCCCCGACTGCCTTATCCTTTGGAGCGTTCCCGATGTCTGCAAAGATGTGGATCTGGACGTCCTTGTGGAAGCCTTAAAGCCCGTGGGGACCTTTAAGAAGATTGGCAAGGTGTTCCGGAAGGAGGAAGACTCCACGGTGGGGATGCTGCAGATCGGGGACGATGTGGATTATTTGCTCATCCCCCGCGAGGTCAGGCTGGCCGGTGGAGTCTGGAGGGTCATCTCCAAGCCTGCCACCAAAGAAGCAGAATTTCGGGAGCGGCTGATCCAGTTTCTAGAAGAAGAGGGCCGAACTCTCGAGGACGTGGCCCGCATCATCGAGAAGAGCACTCCGCACCCGCCCCAGCCCCCCAAAAAGCCCAAGGAGCCCCAAGTGAGAAGGAGAGTCCAGCAAATGGTAACTCCTCCGCCGCGCCTGGTCGTGGGCACGTATGACAGCAGCAATGCTAGCGATAGTGAGTTCAGTGACTTTGAGACCTCCAGAGACAAGGGCAACAAAAGCTCGAGGCAGACCAAAAAGGTGCGCAAAATGCCTGTCAGTTACTTGGGCAGCAAATTCCTTGGAAGCGACCTGGAGAGCGAGGATGATGAGGAACTGGTCGAGGCCTTCCTCCGGAGAGGGGAGAAAAAGCCCAGCGCACCTCCTGCACGCCCCCGCCTCAAACTGCCAGTGCCGATGTTTGAGGACAACCTGGGGCCCCAGATGTCCAAGGCTGACAGGTGGCGAGAGTATGTCAGCCAGGTGTCCTGGGGGAAGTTGAAGCGCAGGGTGAAGGGTTGGGCTCCAAGGTCCGGCCCCGGGATGGGCGAGGCCCCACCGGCCCCAACCCCAGTGGAGAGAAATGGGGCATCATTGCCCAGCAGCACCAGCCGCGGGGATAATGTGGGAAATGCTGCAGATGGTCGCATGCCTGAGACCTCCCCCAGACGATGGAGGCCCAAGGTCAACTGGGCCTCTTTCAGGCTCCGCAGGAAGGAGAAGGCAGCATCCATGCAGCAAGGGGCAGAAGTGCAGGCTGACCAGGGGGCAGAGGCTGCAGATAATCAGAGGGCTGAGGATATAGATGACCAGAGGGAAGGGGCCCCAGCTGTCCAGGGAGAAGAGGCTGCCCCTGACCAGGAGGAAGAGGCTGCAGCTGACCAGGGGGAAGGGGCTGTAGCTGACCAAGGAGCAGAGGCCCTGGTTGATCAAAGGGCAGAGTCTGCGCATAATCAGAGGGCAGGGTCCCTGGGTACCCAGGAAGCTGAAGCTTCAGCTGCTCAGGGGCCCACAGGAGCTAGGGCCCGGAAACAGGTCAAGACAGTGAGGTTCCAGACCCCTGGACGCTTTTCATGGTTTCGAAAGCGCCGAAGAGCCTTCTGGCACACTCCCCGGTTGCCAACCCTGCCCAAGAGAGTCCCCAGGGCAGGTGAGGCCAGGAGCCTCAGGGTGCTGAGGGCTGAGGCCAGAGCAGAAGCAGAGCAGGGAGAGCTAGAAGACCAGCTGTGAGGTGAGGGCCTGGGTCTTAGAGCACCCCCTGCCCTCCTGCTTGAAAATGGAGGTGGAGAAAGGGGCAGAGAGTGCCTGCCACATTGCCACCTAATAACTCTTTTCTTGTTAAATTTTTATATCTCATGCATTGATTTTTTTTTAAATACTGACTCCTTGTAGTGACCCAAAGAATGTAAATAAAGAAACTGATACAGTGGGGTTGCATCACTTATGATTTTAACTTCTTCAAATGCAACTCTAGGTGCTCAGCTTGAAAAAGGGAGAGATGCAGGGGAGGGGAGGGGAGAAATTCCTTCCTTCTCTGTCTCTCTTATGCCTACACACTTAATGAGGACTGCCTCCTTGAACTTAAGGAGGGCACAAGCCAATAAGCAAATAAAATGTTTACAAACTGATTTCTTGGCTTTGAACTTGGCAACTGACAAATGCTCCAGGGTAACTTGGTCCTTGCTGTTATTCTACTCCTTACTTCCCTGATGGGGACCCCTGTGTTTATGTTGTCACTTTGCTTGCCATCCCCATGTCCTAGGTCCTGCTGGTTTGGAATGAATGGGCCCAGGGTTTGCACCCTTCACCCTGATTGTGGTTATGAAGTATAGGAAAAACATCTGGGAAACATATTCAGATGAAGATTCTGAGGCCCTTGGCACCAGAGACGTGGATTTTCTAGAGCTGTGTGTAGGGCCCTGGAATCTGGATCAAGCCCCACAAACATAGGCAGCTTGGCCACTGGACACATTGAAAAATCATTTTGACAGGAGCTGGCCCCAAAGGGAGTTGTGCTGTCTTGTTCTTGGAGAGAAATGGGGCTGCCAAAGCCCTGTGGAGTCTAGGAGGAAGTTGGGGGGGAGGTCTTTCTGTATTGCTTTGTGCCCCTCTCAACCCTCAGCAGTGAAAAACAGCAAAGGAGCACACCCCAGCCTCGCTGAGGGCAGGAGAAATGGGAATTCATGGAGGGAAGTGGTCCAAAGCCAAGTTCTGTTTTCCTATCTGGCTGCAGGCCTGGTCTGAGTTTCTTAATTTTTTCCCTTGGAACTAAAGAATTCTATCATTCCACACCTCTTTCTTTTTCCCCTTCCTTGCTGTTTTCTGAATGGAGTGGTTTCCTATCCTGCCGCTTGCTGTATGGTGTACCCTGTGGCCTTGCTAGAGCCCTTTTCCTCTTGGTGGCTGACACCCAGCTGTTTAGTTCATGGCTCACAGCCTGGCAAGAAAGAGGCCCCTGGGGAATTTGGAGAAAAGACAATGTGTAGTCCACCTGGGGACTTCCTTTGCAAGTGTGAGGAGGAAGAAGCTGAATGACCAGGGAAATTATTGGAGTAACTGAGGCATGCTTTCTATATCAGGCTGGTGGTGGGGGTTGGGGCTCCTTCACTGCTGTCTTCTTTGGACAAAAGAGGTCTCAACCTGGCCTGCCTGGATTGCTGGAAGGGGAAAGGGAACAGCAAAGACAAAACTCCTGGAGAAACTCAGATGGGGAGAAAATGGCAGGTGGGTGGAGCACATGGCACATATGTAATAAACTCTACTCACCCAAGAATGTGTCCCTCTCTGCCTTTCCTTCCTACAGGGCCCAGAGCTCTGTAGGAAGGGGAAAATTCAGAAGGGGAAAATTCAGAGGGTCTTGGGGGAACACCGGGGTCTGTGGGAAAAAAGGAGTATGGATCCTGAGCAAGAGGCAAGATGGGTATAACAGGAAGCTGTGTGCATTTCAGACATCAGCCACCCTTGGCAACACTGTGTCATACCCCTCACTGCCACACACATGTATGCACACACAAATAGAGACCCAGACATGCAGGCACAGCATACACCACAAACACACACACAGACACCATTGGCAGACCCACTCACAGACATATTCAGATTAATCCCCCCCACACACAGATACACGGATACATATGTAGTGCCCACACGTGCACTCACAGAGGCACATAGACCCCCTGTGCTTTATACACACTGAAAGCCCCCCACACACTCTCAGACTCACACCACCACCATTTATAAATTTATTGAATTTATAAATTTCAATATTTATACCTACTCATGGGACCCATGGACACACTGCTAGACACTCTCACATACTTCCATACACACAGCCACATGTGTACACTCACATGTGACCACACAGAAACTCAAGAATGAGGCACAGATGCACAAATACTTGGAGAAATGCACATTTCACACCTCTCCTTGGGTTTTATCTCTATAGCCCCTCTGAGCCCCTCTGAGGCTTTGGGCACATGTGCCCTTCACTGAGTCTCAGTCTGCCTATCGCTGAAGTGGGCACAACCTTCCCCACACTCCTGTCCTCAGCATCTCCAGCATGAGTATGAAGAGAGGTCCCACACAGGGAGGAACCCATGGGTAACCGGAGAGGAGATGGTAGCAGGGCCTTTGAGATTCTTAATCCAAGGAGGTTTCAAATGGTGCCTATAGGGCCTGTTCTCAAAGGCATCTGGCTCACACCTCTGGGGCTGTGGTTTCTTACAAATGAATCAAGTTTTCCTTGGAGGAAGACCAGAAAACTATAGATTTGACTCCAAATCAGCCCTATCTGGACCAGATAGCCATCATTGTCGCCAAAGAGAAAATGACGTAACACAGACCCAGAGAAGAGAGATGCCACCCCAAAACATGGGGATTTTCTGCATTCCCTCCCAGGCCCACAGTATGTGACAGCAGAGGAAACAGTTGGGGACAGGGTAAGGAAACACTTGGAGTCCAGCTGCCTGGTTTCCCCCAGCACGGCCCCTTGCAAGCTGTGTGACCTTGAGCTGGTTACTTACCCTCTCTGTGCCTCCACTTACTCATCTGGAGGAGGATCATAGCAGAGCTTCCTTCCCAGCATTGCTCAGGGGACTGAAGGTGTGATGTGCTCAAGCTCAAACCAGCCCCAACAGAATCACCTGGTCTTATTTCTTTCATATGTCAGTGGTGGCCAGTTCTTCACAAAACATGTCAGTTCTGAGGGCACCCTGACAGTGGTCCCCAGCCCTGGCCACCCCAGAATCAGCTGGAGCCTGTGCCCAGCCCATACAAGGAGCTCTTCTACAATGGTGGAGGGCATGGCTGGCACATCAATAGTTCCTCAAGGCCAGGCCTGGTGGCTCATGCCTGTAATCCTAGCACTCTGGGATGCAGAGGCAGGAAAATCTCTGGAGTTCAGGAGTTCCAGACCGGCCTGAACAACAGTGAGACTCCACTCTCTACTAAAAAAAGGTAAATTAGCCAGGAGTGGCAGGCACCTGTGGTCCCAGCTACTCGGGAGACAGAGCAGGAGGATCGCTAGAACCCAGGAGTTTGAGGTTGCTGTGAGCTAGGCTAACGCCATGCCACACTAGCCTGTGGTGACAAAGTGAGACTCTTTAAAAACACTAAAAATAAAAATAAAAAATAAAATAAAAGTTCCTAAAGCTTCGGGGTAATTCCCAATGTGCAGCCGGGGCTGAACTAGCGATAGACCCCACCCCTAGGGCAGTAGCTCTTGGGTCCTGCATCACAACTACCTGTGGGGCCTTGGAAAACACAGCTGGCTGGGTCTCACCCCAACGTGGCTATGTAGGTCTGGGCCGGGTGCGGGGAAGGAATATATATCTAGTTTTCAGGAGACGTTGGTGCCACCGGTCTCAGGATCTCACTGTGAGAACCGCTACCCGGTAATAAAGTCAGTTTTCCGCAGCCAGGCACTCCAAAACCGGGTGGAGCTTTGGCGCTTTTCAGGCGCGGGACCGGTGTCCAGAGTGGCCCTTGCCCGCAAGATTTTAACCCGCAGTCCTTGGTCCTAGGGCGCCTCCTAGTGGTTTGGGACCCTGCAGCTCTTGTGAGTTGACACCACTGGGCAAGCCTGGATTGGGGGTACGCGGCACCCTATTCGAGGGGAGTAGCCTGCATTGAGGGCCTGCAAACCCGATATCGGAGGGATATGTCGTTTTCTGGCTCTGAAGTCCTGACATCTCCCTCCGCTCCAGCACCTAGTCACATCCCTGGGAATCCCTTTGTCTCCGCCTGAGCCAGCCGCAGGGCCAGGACGAATTCAGGATTGAGGTCCCAGACACTCTCTAAGAAAGTGCACATGCGCCGTTCAGTCCCCTGCGACCTCGTGAGCACCGATTGCAAGGCTACGTAACTTTTAAACTCCAGTCACGTTGAACTCCAACTAGACAGCTACCACGTGGGGACAGGTGGCCTATTTGATGACACTGTCTCCCCCACTCCCAACATAAGCCTGGCATGGGAGGGGCCAGCAACCAAACGTTAATAAGCCCCTATTATCCCAGCCCTAGGGTGTGGTGGCTCTTCCTTACTCCTGCCTGGCGCTTCCCTCAGGCCTCCATCTGCTGCACCACCCCCACCCCCACCTCTTTCGAGTGTTGCTTTCGTGTCCCTGCCTCAGTGAAGGCTTCCCAGACCACCCTGCTGACGACCACTGCAAATTCTTTCCCGCCCTGGCGCCCCTCGGATCCTGCCCTGCCGGACTGTCCTCTCTGCCTAACCCGTTGATCGTGTCTTCATCTAGGAAATTTGTCCCCTGCCTGCGCTCCCTCCTCTGTCCCCGGCGCCCCCGGCCGCTCCAGGCTCCGCGAAGGGATGAAGCTGCCGCCGGTGGCGGTGCTGGTCTCTGCGCGCCTGGAGCTGCTCCGGGCCCTTCCCTGTGGGACCTCGGAGTCCTTAGACGGCTGCCCCTTGTATCCCAAACGCTCCTCCCCACACCCCCAGATGCATTCCCTCCGGGGAACTTATCTTTCCAGCACACTCTCCACCAGCCGCATCTGCAGTCTGGCTCGCCCAGTCAACAGCCTTCCTTCTATCCTTCAGTCATTCAACAGGTGTCAACTGAACAGCTACCGTATGCCGGACATCGTGCTGGGTCTGGGGACCCGGGGGAGACAGGTCAGGTCACAGTCAGTCCTCGGGAGCTACACCTGAGCGGCTCTGCTGACCGTCCCCTCCACGCCCACCTGCCCCCTACTGGGTAGGACCTGCCGCGCCGCAGAGTCCCGTCAGGGTCTGCTGGGGGCGATGAGGCACTAATGGGAGGTGGAAAGCGTCAGGAAAGGGACACAACGGGAAGCAGCAGCGGAGACAGCCACCTTGGTGAACCAAGGGCTCCTGGGTCGCTCAAGCAAATTGGTTCCACATGTGGAACTTTCCGGACCAGCAGCATCAGCTCAGCGACCTGGGCTCTGAGAAGGGCCATTTCCACGTGGCTCCTCCAGCCCTGGGGATCCCAACAACTTGCTGCATTAGTAATCTCCGGGTAACCTGACTTCCTTCTTTTTGCACTTCCGGATTGTCACCAATTTCCTCTGTTAATCTCCCTGACAAGTACTGTAGATGTGAGGAACAAATGAATGTGTTGGGGGCAATCAGACTTCTGAAAAATAAAGTGAGGGTGTGGGTGCTATATCTTTGGTAAGATGGTCTTTGGTAAGTGATCAGGGAACCCCCCCCCATGTGACACTGGAAGAAAGACACACCTGAAGTGAAGGATGGAGCTGTGCAAATATCCTGGAGAAAGGCCCTCCAGGCTGCAGGGACAGCAAGTACAAAGGCCCTGAGGCAGAAAAATGCCCAGTGTGTTTGCTGAGATCTGGACGGTTGAGGCCCACTCAGACACTCACAGGCTGGCGGAAAAAAAGATAGGTAAAATGGGGACAAGACTGCAGAGACTGGAGCTGCCCAAGAGAACATTCTGTGGCAGAGGAAATGTCACATACCTACCCAGTCCACTGTGGTCACCTGTGGCTCTTGAGCCCTTATAGCTGGGAAGACTGAGGAAATGGGTGTTTGATTTAATTTCTCTCAATTACACTTACTTTTTTTTTTTTTGTAGAGACAGAGTCTCACTTTATTGCCCTTGGTAGAGGGCCATGGCATCACACAGCTCACAGCAACCTTAGGTGATTCTCTTGCCTCAGCCTCCCGAGTAGCTGGGACTACAGGCACCCGCCAGAACGCCTGGCTATTTTTTTGTTGCAGTTTGTCCAGGCTGGGTTTGAACCCACCACCCTCTGTATATGGGGAAGGTGCCCCACCCACTGAGCCATAGGCGCTGCCCAATTACACTTACTTTTAAAGTGCCTCATGTGAGCAATTGCCTCTGTTGGAGAGAACTGGCCTAGACCATTAAAAGAATTACTATTTTGAGCTGTGGTGACTTAGGAAGAAGCTCTATCAGACATTAGGTGTGGCTTCTAAGAGGACCCCTCACGCAGCCATATGAGGCTGTAGGACATGGAGGAAGACACAAAAATTCAATCAGGAGTAGAGGACTCAGTCTGAAGTCCAGAGCAGAAGCCTGGGACAAGAGCTGGGGGAGGGGTTTCTGGGGAAAAGTACAGAAGCTGAAGGATGGCATTTTGGGTTTCAGGGCACAGTACAGGATGAAGGGGCAGTAGGAAGTAGGGCGGGCCAAGGTGAGAATAACTTGAGGTGGAGGGAGCTGAGTCTTAGAGCAGGACAGGGGGCACAGGCAGGGGCTAGAGAGGGTTGAGGAGTAGTTGGGTGGGAGGAGGAGAAGGGACTGGGGAATGGGGCAGTGTACAGAGTGTGAGACTGAGAAAGGTCAAAGTCAAAGTTAGGGTGAGGCTGAAGCCTGGGCAGGGATGACTGCAGAGAGGGAAGAGTAGGAGACAAGTGAGGCTGGGAGCTGGGGGTAGAGGGTGGAAGCTAGAAGTGGAGGTTAAGGAGAGGGCAGATGGGTTTGTGGCCTGCCAGAGTATATCTGGATGGACACCATGGAAGGACCTGGCCAGGGTTAGGGCCACAGGGGAACCATGGAGGGTTCACGGGCTCCATAGGTGTGTAAGGACTGAGGAGCTGATGCTGAGGCCTGGGAGGAGGGGGCCAGGCACTGCAGAAACAAAGGGGTGTTCTGGGCAAATGTCAGCCATGACAATGAGGAGTCTAATGCCCAAACTCTGCCCCTACCCCTGCCCAGAACCAAAGAAAACAGACCACAGATCTTAATTCAACTTTATTGGAGGATGCAGGGGACACAGTACACAAGGAGAGGAGCCTGCAACTGCTCTGGGGAGAGGTGACACTCATGCCCTCTCCACCCACAGGCAACACCAGAGGCTGCTGGACCCAGGGCCAGGCCCCCATCCCACAACCCCAGTGGGGAGGGGTTTCTTCCCCAGCCCTAGGCATAACCCTCCTTCTCCTCCATGGGCTGGTTCACTGTCCAGGGAAGACCCTGCTGCCAAGATGGGGGAGGCTTCCAAGCATGGAAAAGCATCCACAGCCTGCTTCTGCACCTAGGTGTTCCTAACATGGGGCTCAGACAGTGTAGTCTGGGCTGTAAGGACTCATGCAGAGTCCCTGGCCCTTCCAAGAAATAAGAAGGGCAGAACCTTCCTAGCACAATGAATGGGTTGCTCACCTTCTAGGGATGGACAAGGAAACATATACATCACCCCAGAGACCCAAGGGTGTGAGTGGGGTGTCCAGGGGAGATCACTATTTAGGGACAATATCAAGCTCAGCAGGGAGGACTGAAGCATGGGGGCACAGCAGGAATATGAACACATACACACACGCACGCACACACATAAAAAACCCCTAAAGTATCTGCACATGGGACAGCAGGTGCTGAGGCCCCCCAGCTTACGGGGATATTGCCTCCCACTGACCAGTTGTACATTGGCCCTGAGAGCCTCTGCCCCTCACATGTGGGAAGAGGTCAGGGGTCCCCTCTGGCCTTTAAATCACACAGAGTGTGAACCCAAGACCCTCATTGTCTTAAATCAGAGGCTGCAAGGCCAGACCCATGAGAAGTGGGGATCCAGGGATCCCCCTTCCTATCCATAGCCTATAGGAAGGGGTCACGGTCCACTCTTCCCACTCTGTGGGCAGAAATCTGGATTTTTATGTCAATTACTCCAAATTGAACACATAGGCAAATAATTAAAAATTTTGGTAAATACTGCCATCTGAGTGTGGACATAGACAGGTAGGCCTGGCCTTGGGCTGGTTCATTTATACTAGCTGAGCCCCCCAAGGGGCACGGCTCATGTGTCTTCCCTTTCCTCTTCCTCCTCTGCCCAACCCCCATTCCTGGTCTGCCATTGCACGACTTCCCCCTCCTGTCTCCTGCCTCTCTTCCTTCTCCTTCTCCCAGCTACCCTCAGCCTGTCCTGCTTTCCTTCCTGGAATTATCTCCTCCCCGTGGCAGGAAGCTTCTGCCTTCATGGCTCAGCTACACCCTGACACCCCTGCCCCACACAGACTCTGGGCCAAATCGATCAGGGTAGGGGCCAACACCCACTGGTCAGCAGGTGTCCAGAACCATCGGGGCCCCACAGAGCCATAAAGAGCTCACTGGCCCTGCTCACCTCCTCAGGTGCCAGGTGTCACCGACACACTCACCAGGAAGCGACTGGAGCCCTCAAAGCCATGCGCACTCAGCCAGCGTCTCAGCCCCACAGGTGCTGCCTCTGGCGCGTTTCTCTTTTCCTTCTCCCGTCGGCGGGGCTTCTTCCATCAGGATCTCTTGAGCCCAGAGGACGCCCAGGCCCAGCCCAGCACCTGTGTTCAGGGGGAGATGGCCTCTGCAGGAGGGGGGGAGGGTAGGGAGGAGTCAACCCTGGCCGCTCGCAGCCGGGATGTCCTCTTTGGGAGCCACTTAGCGGCATTTGGCGCGCAGCTTCTGACCCCGACGAGCCTTCCTACCGCGCGCGGACTTGGAGCTGGCGGGCGGCTGGCCCTGGGCCTCGCCGGCCTTGGCCCGGACCCCGGCGGCCGCGCCCCCTTTCTTCTTTTTGCTTCCCGCCGCGTCTTCCTTGGCCTTCTTCTCCGGAGTGGCGCCGCGGCCGCGGCCAACCCCGCGGGTTTTTTGAGCTCGGGACTGGACCGGGGCGGCGACCGTGGCCGCGCCGGCCTGAGCCCGGCCCCGGGGGGCCGTGCGCGCCCTCTTGGTCTGGGGCTTCCTGGACGCCGCGTCCTCAGGCTCTGACTCCTCGCTCTCTGCCTCCTCCGACTCCTCAGACGCTTCGTCCGAAGCCTCCTCCAATTCCTTCTCGCGGGCGACCAGGAGAGCCAAGACCTCCCCCAGTTTGCCTTTGGCATATTTGTACTTCTCGCCTTCCCAGGGGTTTGGTTTCTCCTCCTTCATCACCTCAGCCACGTCCTGGGCGGCCAGGAGCGCCACCAACTCCAGGAGGCCCCCCTCGTCCTCACCGTCCTCACCCCAGCCCCCGAGGAGGCCTAGCGGAGCCTTCTTCCCTTTGGAGGAGATCTCTGGCTCCGCTAAGGTAGAAATGCATTCCAGAAGGTTCCTGTCGTCTTGGGCCTTCCTCAGAACTATGGCGTCCACCTCGCGGCCTGCCGCCTCCACCTTCACGCGGGTCCCGGAGGTGTCCTTGGACATGACAGACAAGACCTGCGGAAGAGCATCTTTTTTGTCTTTCTCGTCGCTCCAGCCCAGCGCCTCAATCACAGAAGCGATTTTCAACATCTCTTCCTGGGCCCAGGGGTCTGAAGGGTCTGTATATGCCACAATGGCCACAAACTCAGGATTGTCCATCCCCTCTTTTTCTTGGTCCTCATCGTCCTGGGAGTCACTCTCTGAAGCCTCACCATCTGTCAGCAGCTCCTCGTTGGAGGTATCTCTCACTGCCAGTAGGGCCACTAAGTCGGGGACACCGGCCTTGTCTTTGATGATAGACTCAGCCTCAGGGGTCTCTTTCTCTATCTCCTCCTTCTTGGCTTTGTCAGTCACGGTGACCAGAGCCAGGAACTCCCGAGGACCATCTTCTTCATCCGCTGTGCTCTGGAGGGCCCACTTCTTAACCAGCTCCTTGGCTGCAGCCTGGAGCGTCGCATACAGTGCGCTCTGATCCTCGTCTCCGCTCAAGTCTCCCTCCTCGATCTCCCGAATCACAATGCCCAGGCTCTCGTCGGAAGAGTCCTCTGACTCGCTCCCTGCAGAAGTGGACGGACGCCCTCCCCGACCCCTCTTTGTGCCCTTCTGGGTCAACCTGTTGCCTCTGGCTCTGTTTCTGCGACCCCGACGACCCCTCCTAGCATTCCTGGCTGCCCCAGAAGGCCCCCCAGCCTGCCCCGAACCCTGGGCCTGGGTCTCCAAAGCCTCAGGAGTAGGCATTTCCCCAGGGACCCTTTCATCCAGCAACAGACGTTCCATCTGCCTCAGGACTCTTGCGTCCTGCGCACGCTCCATACACAGAACCTTCCAGACCCCGTCGGTTCCCCGGATCTCCCTGGGGATGGTAGCATGATTAGTGTCTTCCACAAACTCCACCAGTGCGGCTTTGGCCTTCTCCGTCCTCATGGCCCTCACATTCCGCAGCTTGAAGGTGCCCAGGGGCAAGAAGTTTGGCTGCAGGACTGCTTCAATATCCACCTGTTCTAGGCCCTCCGGGATGCCGGTGACCAGTAGGGCTTTGTGCACGTCCACATTCAGCTCCCTGCTCCAGTCTTGCAAAAGGCTCAAGGCCATGGTGCAGCCCCCCTCTGTGCTAATCTCTGGGCTGGAAGGACCCCAAAGCAGGGGTGGGCTGCGGTGTACTTTGCCAATAACCCTAGAAGGCCACCCTGGAAGTCTGAGAGTTCAAGTTCAGGTGAATCTGGCAAGGCTGGAGGCGGGGAGGGGCTCGGGCTGGCTGCCTGCTGCTTAGCAGAGCATAGTGGCCTTCCCCCAGGACCCCTTCCCAGGACTGTCAGAGGACCAGCGGGGGGTGTGGGGGGCTTACGTTTCTGTTCTCCAGGACAGGCCCAGCAGTTCCATCCCTTTGTCCCTAACGCAGGCCTGAGTGACGCGGCATCCCGGGCAGGTGCAAGGGGGCGGGGCTGAGCAAGAGCACCTGGAGGGGCTTGAGGGTTGGGGTAGCTGCCTCTTGCTCTGTGCTCCAGGCTAGTATCTCAGCAGTTCCGCTGCGACAAGGCTTCTCGGGCCTGCGCCTGCGCAATCGCGTCTCCGTGATCCTCCCTTCGCACCCCCTTCTCCTCCGCCCCCCACGCTGGACCCTGTCTCCATAGCAACACTGCAGGCTGGGTAGCGTCACAGTGGTCTGAGGACCCCTTCTTAAAGGGTCCTATAGGGAGGAAGCGTCATCTTCCTTGGTCCGTAAAAAACAGGATCAAATTGACACGCAGCCAAACATCACTCAAGGAAACCCGACCTCATTCTGAGAATAGAGGCATCCTTCCAGAGGGTACAGGCTTGAGTCAGGGTTCTCCCCTTCCCAGTGGCCAAGTGGAATTCGGGAGTCGACAGATCTAACTCAATGGGCACTGGTGAAACCAGGACTCTATGTAGATACTAACCTCATTCATAATCTATGGGTCTTAGTAGTATCACAGGAGGGTACCTGGGCCTCATGGGCATGATTCTGGGAATATTGAACTTACTTATGGGGTACAAACCTCATCCAATGGGACCAGACCTTGCTTCCATGTATGTTCCTCTATTCTTAGCTATGCCTGTACAATTAAACCTGTATTTTTGTACATAGTTTCGAAGATGTGTATGATCATGAGATCAGACATAAATTCTGCAAGAAGCTTATCTCTTGATAAGGGGACGCTTATCCCCTGCTTGTGTGCCCATTAGGCTGCCCTCAACCCAACCCTGGGTTAATCAGGCCTTGTAGCCTTCAGCCCTTAGGTTTATGTCCCACTTCCTACAGCTCCCCCTCTTCCCCCAAGAATAACTCTCTGGAATGTTCTGAAGCAACATCTCTAGGCCTCAATTTGCTCCTCTGTGAAATCAGAACAGCACATTCCTGCCTGAAAGGGTTCTCACCAGGATTAAAGGGAATGACCCTGGAAAGCACTTTGAAGAGAGGCTGACCCATATTGACACTCCATAAAAGGCAACCTCCAGAAGTATTTATTAAGAACTTACTATTGTAAGAACATTTGTTAAATAATAGATATTTATTATCTTGAGTTCATTTGATTTTTTTTTTACATTTGAAGAGTAATGGAAAGGTTACCATGGCAACTGGGCCATGGGCAAATACTTACTCACTTTTTTTTAATTCCTATGCTTTGTTCTCCTTTTACCTTCCCCTTCCCCAGATGGATGTAACTCTCCTCTCTGATGCAGAGTTGTCCAACAGGAACCCAATGCCAGTCCAAATGTGAACCCCATGCATAATGTTTAATTGTCTAGTGGCCACTTTCAATAACTAAAAAGAAACAGGTGAGGCTTGGTGGCTCAAGCCTGTAATCCTAGCACTCTGGAAGGCTGAGGCAGGCTTAAGCTCAGGAGTTCCAGACCAGCTTGACCAAGAACAAGACCCCCTCTCTATTAAAAATAGAAAAACTGGCTCAGCACCTGTGGCTCAAGTGGCTAA